ACCCCTTACAGTTAACCCCTTATTAACACTCCCTTCCCACCTCACTTCACAGTCTGGCTTCACCAATTAACTTCTAACTCCTTTCCATTCTGGTAGACCAGAAAGGTTTAATCAATGGTTTTATCCTTCCAAATCCCCTCAATTCCATTTATCAGGGGGTTGTGTGGTGTTGTTGTCTCTGACCTGTTCTGCTGACTCAGCCATTTTTAAAACACTGAGGGGAGTAACGCCACTACAACCTGACTTTCCTTGGCTTATAGATATATTTGGCTTTTTCTGCTATGATTCTCTCACTGTACACTAGTCAGCTGAATATAGGTCAGCTACTAAAACATTAACCTTGACTATTTAACTATTCACTTCTTTCCACGACTGGCACTGAGGGATAACCGTCCTATAACCTTGGAGTTTTGTACTGTTGATTTGACGATGTCTCCTGTGTTTCCCTCTCGTTAGCACTGGTACAGGTGATATGATGGTGGTACAGATATGATGCTACTGTCAACATGATTGAACGTCAGTAAAGATGTAAATTTTCACTTCGCTAGTTGTACGTCGGGAAAGTAGCTGCTGTTTGGATGCTGGTCAGCCATGTTTTAAAGGCTCAATTCTTTCCCTCGTTTGGCATGAAGAAAAAAGTCCTACAGCCCTGTCATTTCCTTGGAGATTTAGTTGATCAGGTTTTCTGCCATGCTGTCTTCCCGTTGAACACTGGTGCAGTTGATATGGAGGTCAGTTATTTCATTGTAATGGAAAACGTCTCATGTCTGGTTCACGTCTGGCAGCAGGTCTGGTACTTGAATGCCGGTCCCTCTTTTGTCATATTTAGTCCATTTCGTTGTCGTCACCGTCAGTTTTTATGTCACTATAGGTTACTTGCATGTTGTTGCAGCAGTACTTGCAAATTTGGCCATACTGGAGTTCGGATAGGCCCAGGGGACGGCAAGATATAGGAGCAGCCTTGTTGCTGCTTGCTGCGGCTGCGGTGTCAGGGTATAAGTAAGTTTATTCAGGTATACACAAATACAGTTACATAAGATTATCATATATAGCAGCATATGTGTAGAGAACCTATGATAACCCAAAAAAGTCAGACAGTGCCCCTTTTTTTCCGTTTGGATTTTCATTTTAAACATCAATTGGGGTTGGGGTGTTTTTTTTTTTTCGTTGGGGAATTGCCCGGGAAAACAATTTTGGCCCCCCCAAATTTTTCCCAAAAGGGGTTGATGCCAAATCAATTTTTTTTTTATTTTATTTTTAACAAATTTGTTGCCAGAATTTCCCCAAAAATTTCTCTTAAAAATAAAACTATTTACTTTGTTTTTTTTAAAAAAAAAAGGGGAAAAAAATGAAATCAAAAAGAAAAATACAAAAAATGAAAAAAAAAAAAAAAAAAAATTTTCCCCAGGGTATTAAGTTTTCGGGGGGATTTTTTCACCCCACCCTTTTGACTTAAAAATTCGGTGAATTTTTAAAAGTTCTTGTTATGTTTTTCCTTCTCTATATTAAAAAATCATTTTTTTCGGTTTGTTAAACAATTCTTTTAAACTTTTTTTTTAGGGTTACTTAGAAGCTCCATCTTGTTTGCCCTAGAATCTCGCCCCCCATTTATCAAAGTTAATTTCCCTGTAGTTTTAAACCATCATGGTTTTATTTGGGGGACCCACAAACTTGTTTTTTATTTTTAATCGAATGGAAGGGCCTAAAATTTTTTTCTCTTTTTAGGCATCTTTCCCACTATTAAAATGTCCCTCCAATTTTGTAAAAACTTTGTATATATTTTATACGTGTTTAAAAAAAGTAGTTATTTTATTTCTTTTTATAAAGATAATGAAAAAAACCCAAAGGGTTTTTTTTACAAGGGTTTTGTGGGAAAAAAGACAAGCTGAAATTTTTGTACATGTATTTTATTCAGATAGATGGGATGTAAAGATTACAGCAGAATCTCTCTCTGCAGCCCCAAATTTCCTTGCTGGAAATTTGGTGGCTTTAAAAATTTTCCCCTGACTTGTAAAAAAAATGTTCAGAAAAAGTTGGCATGACAGGGGGAAGCAGAATTTTGTTGTTGCTAAAAGCCCTCAACCATAGATAAAGATTTTTTCTTTGTAAAAATTAAAATGTGTAATTACGTTTTGATTTGTTAAACAAAAATTAAAATTTCTCTACTTCTCCCTTTATTTTATTCCCTAGATGGCTCGTTATGAATTTTTTAAAATACAAGTTTTTTTTTACGAGTTACATTTTCCAAGTGTGTGGGGTTTAATATATTATATATAATATATATATTATATATAATATATATATATATATATATATATATATAATATAAATTAAAATTATTGCAAAAAACACTCTGAAAGAATAGAGAAATTCCCAAAGCGCTTCGTGACTACTCACGAAGCGTTTGGGAATTTCTCTTTTTTTCAGAGGGGTTTTTTTTGAAATTTTTCTGAAATCCCCGTTTACTGTGATCTTATTGCTTTATTTTAATATTTTTAATATATAAAATATTTATATATATATTATATATATATATATATATATATATATATTTTTATATATATTTAATAATATTTTATTTATAAAATTTAAAAAAAAAAAAAACATATGTATATATATATGTCGTCCCGAATGGGCAGAACTTGCGATCTTGGCAAAATAGCAACGCTATTTGCCTATAGGACAAGCAAAAAATTTGGTATCAATAATTTCGCCGAAATCTTTCTGAACCAACAAAAAAAATTATTTCACTGTGTTTGTTTGTATTAAATTACTGTAAAAAAAAATCTAAAATATTTTAGTTTGGGTTAGGCTAAAATAAATTGTTCTTGTTATAATAAGGTTAGGTAAGATTGAAATTATGGCCTAAAACAGTTTCAGGAAATTTTCATGATGGGATAATTTAGAAAGGGGCCTTTGCCAGGTGATTCAGAGGAAATGGCTAGCAAAACAGTGCATGGTTACACTTAAAATTTCGGACGAAAGGTTTCAGTAAAACAAATTGTTTTAGGGGTTGGGAGATTCGTTTTCATTTGGTTAGGTGTGAGGAAAGTCCCCCCATCACCACATAAAAAACCCCGACCCGTCACCAAAGATTGAGGATCAGTTAAAAATCGTCGACAAAGTTGGAGTGTATAGGTAAAAAAGGTGTCTAAGGTAAGAACCCCTTTGCGACCTCAGAGGAAATATGCCAAAATTGCGTGTTCTGCGAGGCGAACCGCTAGCACGGTTGCTAGGAGATATAAAATGAGCAGTAGGCCCCCAGAGCTAAGGGAAGTTGGACTCTGCTTCAAGTGTTTGGGGGGAAAACTTTGCGGAGACGGGGGGGCACCCAGCTCGTGAGTGCCCAGTCTGTGCAAAAGGTAAGCAATACTGCCTATGTCCCAATAATTTAAGGGAAAACCCGGTGTAGGGGTATCTCTCAGGTGAGATAGAAGTGGGTCCCAGCCCGAAATGGTAGCCGCGTGTTGTGGGGGTGAAGTCTCTAATCTGAGTGAGAATACGGTGGGGTGCCCTCCTACAGTCATGGCAAAGGTTGTGAATGGGCACAGGTCCCAAAAAAAACCCGATTTTCTTTGACCCAAGGCCAAATATCCTTGATAACAAAAAGGGTTTGGGGGTAAATTAAAATTGAAGGCCACAAAGAAAATTAGTATGATGTGGTGGGTGTTCCCGTCAAATTAGGTGGACAACAGGAAAATTACCGCCCTTTGGGGGTAGACACATTACCCAGGGCAATTTCGCGAGAGGCTTGCTGCAGCAGTTAAGCGATTGAAAGACCCCGAGTGAAAAGGGCAGACCAGGGAATTACCACTGACACGGGGCAGAAAGTAGGTAAACTGGGGGGACCAAAAATATAGATGACTTCCGGGTTTCATACGGACGTTTTTGGAAGGAAAATTTGGGTTTTTACGATCCCCCGTAGGATACATCTAGGCGGGAGGATTCCCCCTGAATTCCCTGCCAACCCGATAGAGGAGAAGTGTCCCCA